GGATTCATCAAGCGGGACATCTCAAATCCGCCGTTCTCAGAGCGTCCATACCAGACCTAGCTGGTGAGCGATCCCCACCCCACAGTCGGTATGGTCGTAGCTCCGGCATATCAACGAGGCAAGCCCGAGCATTCACGACAGGATTCATCAAGCGGGACATCTCAAATCCGCCGTTCTCAGAGCGTCCATACCAGACCAAGCTGGATGGTCGTAGCTCCGGCATATCAACGGGGCAAGCCCGAGCGTTCACGACAATATCCCTACGCCTGTGGCCATTAAAAAAAGCAAACGAACTTTACCTCTGCGTTCTGCTGCTGTTATCTGGTTACTCTCCACAATGGTCTCTCTCTCTCTCTCGCTCGCTCGCTCGCTCGCTCGCACGCTTGCTCTCTCGCTCGCACACTCGCTCTCTCTCTCGGCTTCTCCGGACTGCTACTTTCACCTCTTCTGCTTCAGGTCGCTCTCCTCTCTGTTTTTTCTCCATTCTCTTGTCTCTGTTCCATCGCCCGTATCGTTCCCTCCTCGTCAGGAATCTCCGTGCACTATGGACGGCACTATGGACGACATGTGGGAATTCCGTCGACATTTTAAAAAAGAATCCCCGCGGCAAAAGTCTGTCAGATCGATCCAACAAAAATCCAAGATAGCGGTCCAGAGCAAGCAAAAAGCCTGCAGATTCACAACTACTATTCTGCATTCTCCTTACAACGGCCTATCCTACTGCCTAAAACAGCATCACCAATCTCCTCACGATCTAGAGCCTCCGGACAGGCAGAGTGGTGGGACGGGAGGAGAGGGGAGGGGAGGGGAGGCCAGTGCTTGGGAAGAGAGGCGACCGCTTGTGGGTGGTGGCTAAAGGCGGCAAGAGGACAGAATTCCTATCTTATCGCAGGAAATCTATATAATCGCGGTAAAAACGAAAAACGATAACACGAGGCAACATGTCCGTTATACCAGCTCACGATTTGATCTGCTACTTCGACAGTCTGGACCCAATAAAGCAATGAAAGGTATTGGATAAGGAACTCAAGTCACGGAAGAAAGGAGAAAGAAGAGGAAAACCATGGAAAACAATCAGTGATATCAACGACACGGCATCTCATCACAAGGCTGAGACAACGCGGACGTGACATGCGCAACAGAAGCAAGGATGGGTGGAGGATAAGGTTAAAAGAAAGTTCATTAACTCCACAATCCAATCCACTTGAAGAAAAACCGGATTCATCGTCACCCTCGTCTCCCATCCCTTCTCCGACTCCCTCCCTCCAAATAGATCATTGTACGGGCTGAGACTGACACACTCACCCTGGAAGGCCTACCTCCTATCCAAGAAAAATATTCGACGACTGTTATCCGCACTGTGCGAGGAAACTCTCTCTCTCTCTCTCTCCAAAACCTAAGTTCGATTACTCGAATAATCCTTCCCTCCCCCTTTCCAAAACCGACGCCAAATCGATTACTCTTAAAACTCCCTACCTCCCCACCCCACCTCTCTCTCTCTCTCTCTCTCGCACTCTCTCGCTCTCTCTCTCTCTCTCGCTCTCTCTCTCGCTCGTTCACTCTCGCTCTCTCGCTCGCTCTCGCTCTCTCTCTTCGCGAGATATTATTTCATGCTGGAACCAGCAAAATGAGACAGCACAGCGTTATATGAACATCTCAAATAATAATCCCCCCCCTCTTCACTCCCTCGTCCACCGTCATACCAGAACACCCACGCACTTACGACTCCTTCACCCATTCGCTACCAAGAAAAATTATGCACCCAATTCAAACCCATTCCTGTCGGAACTCTTCATCATACCCCCCTCTTCTTTTGTCCTCAGCTTGAAAAGCGTCCTTCAGAATTTCCGTCAATATCACCTTTCTGCGTCACTCGCAATCCGTAACACCCTGACACGCTCCATCACCTCCTTGGACCCGTACTTCCATTCTCTCCATGTGCGTGTGAACTTCAACAAAACCAATCAAACACAACGCCTTTCCGGTTGCAGTATCTCGCCGCAATAACGCTCACACATCCAGTTTACTCCCCTTCCGTCTCTCTCTTCCTGTTACCACCTTTAAGGCACCCACAACCGACTCCAGCTCGTGCAGAGTGCCATAAGATGCAATCTCTCTCTCCCTCTCTCTCTCTGTTTTTCCTTCATCGAGTTGGAGACATGAATTACGCTGCATCAATCAATTACGTACAGAATTCAGGGAGCAGAGGGACTATAGCCACCGATTTTGAAACCCGGGTCCACCCATTGCGGGGGGCCCGCCCATACCCATCCCAACACCACCACCAAGGCCCATTCCGAGACCTGCACCTACGTCCATTCCGGGAGCACCGCCCATTCCCATTCCACCCATCCCTACACTTCCACCCATTCCCATTCCCATACCCATGGGCCGCATTCCAGCTCCTGGACCAGCCATCCCCATTCCCATGCCCGTCATGCCCATCCCTCCGCCCATGCCCATGCCCATAGCTCCCGGCATGGCTCCCATACTTCCCATCCCACCTCCCACACTTCCCATCCCACCTCCCACACTTCCCATCCCACCTGCCATTCCTCCCATCCCCATCCCCATCCCCATTCCACCTCCCATCCCCATACCTCCGCTCATGCCCATGCCCATCCCTGCGCCCATCCCCGGCACACCGAATCCA